TTAAGGCTGGTCTTTCCTTACTGATTTTCTGTCTGGATGCTATATCTGTTGAGGTAAGTGGGTTGTTAAAGTCTGCTACTATTACTGTATTGCTCCCTTAGGTCTGTTAACGTCTGCTTTCTATATTCTGGCCCTCCTATTTTGGGTGCATAAATATTTACAAATGTTATATTCTCTTGTTGGATTAACCCTTTTATTGTTATGTAATACCCTTCTTTGTCTTTGGTTAAAGTTTTTATTTTAAAGTCTATATTTTCTGACATAAGTACTACGTCATATGTCCTATGGCTATGCCTACTTTTCATTGCTAGTTGCATGGAATATCTTATTTCATCCTTTCTCTTTCAGTCTCTGTATGTTCTTATATCTGAAATACACTCTTATACAAAAACACATCTGATCTTAAACGCTCATAACTTTTAAGAACTTAAAAAGGCCTTAGAGACAATTTCCTTTGGATAAGCAATGGAGAAGTGATGAATTGGAAAAAGAAACAACAATATATATAAGTGGTGACCAAGAAATCTGTGGGAAATCCCTGGAGACAATGTCTGTCCAAGACAGAAGACAAGAACCCCAAAATAATTTTAACATGTACTTTTCATAAAATGGATTTCCTACTGTGCCACAAAATTATTTAAAAACACATAGGGGCAAAACCACAATATTTCATTAATGTCCACTGTTTTATAATAGTTGATTCTGATTTTGTTTAGAAGAAATCTGTTCTATAAATTGCAACCAGGTATGTTTCTTATGTAGTACTTGTACACCTGCACTGAAATCATTTCAACTAACCATATAGTTGGAAAGCTTATGTAATACATTCAATTGGCTACATCAAGTGAATAAATTTTTTAATAATTTTGAGAAAAAGTATTCCATTTAAGTTTCCCCTTCTATACAGACACCTACATACTGGACTTCTTGTGTACAGTCTTGCAAAAACTTTTCGCTACAGAATTTTTATTTATAATAGGATTAATTCATTAGTACATTCAAGAAAATATCCATCTTTTGGGACTGTCCCACACCTTGTAGGTCATCCAACAGGTCTCTCCCACTAAATAGCTGTAGCCACCATGAACTGTCCCAACGCCCCACAGGGCACAATCTAAACCGCAGTCATAGGTAAAGCACAAAGCCAATGGAGCACTCATCCAACTGCCAGTCTCGAAGGCACTTCTGAGCCATCGTGCTCTTGGCTTACTTTAGGGTTAAAGGCCTAAAGGCTGACCTAAGGACTAATCCCTGGATGAACAGGATAGAAAGAGAACTCCCTTTTGATGCAAGTGCAGTGGCAGCTTGCAGGCCCAGACTACTTACCTCTGTGGACTTGAGGAGTTTTCTTTGCTACCTTTACCCGTTGAGTCTCTCTCACTCTTTTTTGAATTTGATTAAACTGCCGTAGAGTGAAGGATTCTCCAAGGGTCTACTGTCACTTTCTTCCTTTTGGAAGAGAAAACACGTGTCCTTCTTTGAAGAATTGGTCCTGAAACAACTGCTGAGCCATGGGCCTTGGAACTTGTCATTCCGTTTGGAACAGTCAGATGTGACCACCAGTGCAGGTCCATAGTTGGTTGTGCTAGGTCTTCCTTCTGGGCATGACCACATGCATACACGCCCTCCGTGCCCATGCCTGCATTCCTCCAGCTTCCAGAAGACTCCATCATCTGGACAAGTAAAAGAGGTAGAGGGGGAGAAAAGAAGGAAGAAGGAAGAACAAGGGGATCCAAGCAGAATGAGAGGAGGAAGAGAGTGGAATCAAGAGTCAGTGAGAGCAAGAGAGCGAGAGATATTGGGCTGCGGTCTCTTCTGTATGGGGGAGGGGGTCCTTGTGGCTTCACTCCCCCTTCTTTTCTACCACCAGATTTCTCCACAGACTCTTCCTGCATCTCCTAGTGTTGGCCAAGATTCAGAGTATGTAGAAGCTCAGATTTGCTAATAACATTTTAAGACCGGATAATGACATCCAGATTGGTTTTTTCCATCTTGGGGATTTGGAGCAGCTCTGGGAGTTGCAAAGCCAGTCTTGTTGCAAGAATATTTCTGAAGGCCCTCACTGTCTGATCACTGGCGCTGGGCTGCTGGGCACCGTGGTGCAGCCGTCCAGGGTGGCAGAGACGACCTGGGATATGGAAATTACCAGCAGCCCAGTTTTTCATTTGCCGGAGCTCCTGAAGTATTCTGGGACTTTGGATTTCTATTGTTTTTCACAAAAGTCTTCCTTAGGGGCAACAGGTAGCAAACATGGGCCACATTTTGCCAGAAAAGCCCAAATGGATGGTGGCTGCTGTTGTCCATTACTGGCATTTCAACGGACTGTATTTTTATTCCAGAGTATATTTTCACAGCAAGGAAGCAACTGTTGACAATGAAGAATGATAAGCTGTATTGGTGCCAAAACAAGAGTAGAAAAACAGGCTTATTCTGAGAATGGCCTGCAGCCCAAGAGTCAGTGTTAAGAAAACTCTTTCTCCACAGGCAATATCCTCACTTAAAACATTAACACTTAAAATAAGGCTTGGAATCCCTGTTAAGTATCGTAGTGTGTGCTTACAGGAGGTCCTTAGAGAAAGCCTCTAGGCATGCGCACATGGAAGACGAGCAGGTGCGGCTGCGCATCACCTTGACCCTGCTTGTTCCCGGTGTCTTTGGTTCCCTTGAACCCGAATGGGATTTTCGGTGAATGAGGCCAGCATCCCCAGTGGTGACAAAAGAGGAAACTGGTAGAAAATGCATCATCAGAGTTGGTTTAACTCAGCAGTGTGGCCTGAGCAGGTTCCCAGGACACCCAGCCCGATGCAGGGCCGCGGGGAGACATGACACTCGGATGTGTGTGGTGACAGAGAGGGAAGTGGGAGGTGGGGCTGGAGGAGCTTCGAGGTGCCTCCGACCTCCAACCCGCTGGTGCACTCCTTTCCTGCTCTCCCTCACCTCCAGGCTGACTCCAGGACCCCTGGATAGTTGCGCATTTTTCCTAATGGACACATTCTTTCTCTGTCAACGGTTCACAGGGAACATAGGTAAAGGAATCCAGCAATTTCTTTCTTATTTCACTGCCTGTCTGTTGCTTACTCGTTCTGTGGTCTATTTGCTTTGGCTCAAATTGCCTCAGGGTACCAAAAGCTACACTATTCTATTCAACTGCATGTAAGCCAAGATCTTAACCATCCAGGTTTTATTGTTGCTGTTTTATTTGTTTTAAAGTTCAGCCATTTTCCATTCTGGGCAATTACAACTCTGTTTACTTTAGATTCCATGGTGGAGGTATTTCCACCAGGATCCAATACGGGACACGCTGTGAGCAGTAACTTGTCACCACCACCATATTACCAGTATAGGGTCAGGGATTCATAGATTTGGGGTCTTCACTTGAGGGTACCATTGAGGAACGGGAAGGAGGAGGACGAGAAGAAATCGTTTTAGGAGAGGGCCGATGGGCGCAATTAACCAATAGAGATTAATAGAGGTTAATATTAACCAACAGAGGTTAAGACCCAAAAAAGTGTTTATATACATAAAGTGTTATAAACATACAGTTTATATACATAAAGACCAAAAAAAGTGTTTATATACATAAATACATAATGCATCATCTGGAGAAAAATATAGCATCATCTGCCCCTTATAAAATGGTACATTCAGATGGACCTTATTTCTGGAGTGTTTTCCTGATGGGAAATCCATCCTTGTGGTCCCAAGACAAGACTGATCCATCCTGTCCTCCTCTTGCTCTGAATTGTTCCCATCTCTTTCGCATTCACCTTCCTCAGATCCTTGCGCTGAGTTCACAACTCTAATAGACTCTTTCAGTCGCAAGGGACGGACACCCCACTCCCACTATCTTAAGTAAAAAGGGAATTTTGGAATGTTAGAAAGGACACTATGGAAGTTCCAAAGTCAAAGGAAAACAATGTAAGAGTGGGACCTCGTGACTGGAGCCAGGATTCCCCCCGGCCCCTCCCCACTGCCATGTAACTGTCACCCCTGCTGACTGTGGCTCCGCTCAGTTGGGCAGATGGGCGATCCCCAAGGGCAGGGAGGGGGGCACTATAGGAAAGCTGAATATTCTCTCCCTCCAAGCTCACAACCTAGAGGGAAGAATTTCCATCTCAGGACTTCCATATACAATCGCAGAAAAAGCTCTGATTGTCTAGCTCAGGGCTAATACTGTCCCAAAGAACAGAGTGACCTGATTGTCTAATTTTGGTCCTGAGTCTACCTGTGGCCCAAGAAGTCGGGTCCATCACCAGGAGAAAGGCAAGAGCTGGGGGGGGGGGGGGGCAAACAAAATCCAAACATGCCTGGCAGTGGAAAACAGCAGTTCCCAGGGTCCTCTACAACCGCCGCCCCCCATCATAAACCTTTCACTGAGGATGAAAAGGCCCTAAGCCTGACCTGAAACATAACAGCAAATTAGATCCTACCTGGAAAAAAATGACCTGAATCACTGAACAGATCATTTGTCGCTCTCCGTGCATCTTACCAGAGTGACACGGGTCTCCTGGGAGTCTCCCTGATAATGACCAGGCGTGGAGTCAGCGTGTGGGGCTTCATTCCCAGCTCAGCTTTGTCCTGAGGACCTCTCTGCCCTTTGGTTTCTTCCTGAGAAAAGGACTAATAATGCCTCTCTCAGGCTGTGGTCAGTGTTAATGGGATAGTTTGTGTGGGTGTCAGACCGACAGAGAGGGGGTGGCTGGTGACACCATTATGGCCCCAAGGCAAACAGTGACTTTCCCGGGTATCTTGATGATAAATCCTGGAAGACGGCTCCATACAGGAGGCCGGATGGGTTTCTTGGTCCTCTCAGACATGTATATTGATTAGGAATTTTGTAGGGTTGCTTAGATCAAATGGGTCGCACACTTCCCCACTGCTGTGCAGGGTCGTGGGGCAGGGGAAGGGGAAGGTGCTGGCTGGGTGTCAGTCCCACGCACACCGCCAGTCTCCTAGACCTCATCCTCTTTCTCTGTCTCTCTCTCTCTCTGCACATGCAGGAGTGTACACATTTCTGTCCAGCACCCTGAAGTCTCTGGAGGAGAAGGACCATATCCACCGTGTCTTGGACAAGATCACAGACACCTTGATCCATCTGATGGCCAAAGCAGGCCTCACTCTGCAGCAGCAGCACCGGCGTCTGGCCCAGCTCCTCCTCATCCTCTCCCACATCAGGCACATGAGGTGAGGCATCCTTGGGTTCCCCACAGGAGGATCAGAACAGGAGCCCTCAAACATGTTACCGCTGGGCTGGAGAGTGCCGGTGCCTGAAGGCAGAGAGCCCTCTTGGCACAGTTCCTGGCATGTGAGGGGCATAAAGCTGAGGGCAGAGGAGGCAGTCTGGCTAGGGCATGGGGCAGATGGAGAGCTAGGGCATGGGGCAGATGGAAGTGACATTTGTGCTCAGTTGGAAGCCCGCACAAAGCCCCGTCAGGGGAGGGGTGGGCAATATGTGGGTTGCGGGAGGACGGCAGTGTTTGGTCATTCACTTTGTCCCACCAGTCAAGGCCAGCCTGTGAGCACACCTGTCCTCCGGAGGTCCTGGGCGCCTCCCTTATGGTTCCTGCATCGTATTCCCCCGACGTACACTTAGAAATTCTGAGAGACTCTCAGTCCCTAAGCCTCGTGCCTCACAGAGAGTCAACACTGATTCCTCCATTCCTCTCAGACCCCTTCTCGCCACCCCTCACTGCTGCTGCCCACATCCCCGCCAGCGTTCCTTCTGGATTTCTACAGTGGCCACCCGATGCACCTCCCTGCCTTCCGTCTTGACCCCCCCCAACACATTCTCCACACCAGAGCCAGAGTGGCCATCTAATACCACATCGACTCACGTCATTCCTTTATTTAAAACCCCGAAGTAGCTTCCCATTGCATTAGTTCCTTTATTTTGCTCATATAACTTGTGCTCTAACCCTACTTAACTTCCGAGGGCTTCCTGAGAGTCTGAGCCCTGGCTGTAAATGACTGTTCTCTGACTCATGGGTGGGCTGCAGGTTGGCTGGCAGCTCTGTCCATCCCTGCTGGGTCCACTCCCACATCTGTGGGGCAGCTGATGGAGGCTGGGGCACAGCTGGGAGACTCCAGGTTGGGAAGGCGACTCTGCTTCCGGGTGTCTTTTAGCCTCCTTGCACCTGCGGGTTAGCTGGGACATACTCTTCTCATAGTGATGGCAGAGGTCCAAGAGAGCAAGCCTGTAAGGGCAAGTTCATCGTCTTTTAGTTGAGTCACATCGACTAATGTTCCATGGCCAGCAAGTCACACAATGACGCTTAAAGTCAAGATCATGGGCATGTGGCACGGGGAATGGGTTTTCGTAAACGTAAGCTAATCCATCATGGCTTGGGTGCTCTTTCCAGGGAGGGTCTCCTGACCCCTCACCCAGCTGGGATTTGCACCCTCTTCTTCCTGATTGCTGCTGCCCCAGTTTTATTTTGCTCTCCGCCCCAGTTAGACTAGAAAATCTGTAAGGCAGTTACCGCAACCCATCTTGGATCATCTGTGCACCCAATACCACCTAGCTTGGTGCTTGGCACATAGGAACCACTCCATAGATATTTTGCATAGGAGTTAAGGAAGAATATTAGCAAAGGAAATGGAGCCTTTCTGGGCCAAAAGGAGGAAGCGGTCTCATTTCCATTTCAAATAGTCATGTAGAGTGGCTGGCCAGGAGCTTAGTGGATACTATTCCCAGGAACAGAACTCAGCCTGTGGGGCAGAGGTAAAGAAAGTAGAGGAAAAAAAAAAAAAAAAAAGAAAGAAAAAAAAAAAAGAAAAAATTCTTTACTCCAGAAAGGCCATAAAAATGAGGTGACGTGATGACACTAGGAATCAGGTACCCACATGGGATGAAGTCTGTGTGACTTACACCCAGACCCTAGAAACAAAAATGAAATTTCTTTTCTTAGTGGCTGTGAGGGAAGAGCCAAGGTGTCTGGAGGGTTGGCTCACATTTTAAGGGGCTTTCAAATCTTGAGATGATGCATCACGTGGCAAGAAGCTTGTCCTATCAAAGTCCCAAGATTCCCCCTCTCTGGAGAGAACCCTGAAAACTGGCAGCTTCTGGAAAAAAAAATAATAAATGTAGCTATTTTTCTTTGTATCCCCCACAGTCCCATATATGGCATCTTACGTATCATGTAGGCTCAACATTATTGCTGAGTACATGGATATGTGAGTAAATGGATGAATGAGAATTACTCGATTATTTTCCCTACCCCATGAATTCAAAATTCCCGTTTGATGACTTCCACTTGCCAAAGTTCGAGAGAGAGTGATTGAAGTCTCTGTTTCTCGGGGATTTCCTGCGTATCTGGTGTCATAAACAGAGGACTCACCTTGGCCAGGTAGAGCGGGGGACTGCGTTTAGAGTACACATTTCCAGTCCTTTCCCATCTGTTGTTTTTATGAATATTACAAAGAGGGAAGCAGGGGGTATGTCAGAATAACAGTCCTCTCCCAGATTTCCCCTTGAAGAAATGTATTCGCTTTTACTCGGGGCTAGGAAGGTCAAAGACATCGTAGAAACCATATTGCAGATGAAGATTTTTATTTGCTCATAGGAATTGCTGAATTTTCAAATCTGTCCACTGCTTTTCAGCAGTAGCAAGCCTAATTAGTTAAAACCCCAATATATCTGCACTAAATTTATAGGGCTCTGGTCGTTTTATTGGTAACATATGGCAGAGGGCGGCAGCAGTGCGAGAACTCTCTAGAGTTTGCTTGAATTGTGTGAAAAGCTGGAGAGAAGCTGCTATTCTAGTGAAAGCTGTGAGCATTTTCTCTCTCTCTCACTGGGGTGCGTGCGTGTACACACACACACACACACACACACACACACGATAATGTTTTGGTGCCTTGTTACATCCAGCCTAAATCACAGGACTCTGTTTTATTAAGTTTGGCCCCAGCCATATGTTGTTACTCAGAACACTTAACACCAGATTTCTTGTGACTACGAATGGTATTCATTAGGTTGCACAAGCAAGACAGTGTGAGATCTAGCGGGCGCTTAACAGCATTTTAAGTGAAAAACAAACAAACAAACTCCACTTAGATATGTAATTAGGATGTAGTGTTGTAAGACCTGAACAGTCTGATATTGGGTTTTCATGGCCTGTTTCCAGCTTGTGCTGACTCTTCCCCTACCAAAAATGGCAACTATTTTCTAGGGCCCTCTCCTGGTCCCATCTCTTCATGATACATAATTCTAAAAAATCTCAGGATTGATAAGAGCTGCTCTGTGTCTTTTCCATGGGTGGTGGGGTGGGGAAAGAGCAGAGTTATGGCTGGGGGAAGACAGGGGAGGACAGAGGTTAAAAGAAGAAATGCCATTTACCCACATTTCCTTGTGTCCATATGTCCCTGTTGTCTGTGTATCTAGCACATTCTTGGCACTGCTGTAGGTCCACAGGATAGGCACATCACTGCCCCGCAGGGAGCTTGCCCTGACTGTGCTGGTATATGTGAGTGTGGCAGGAATAAGCCTGCGTGTGTCCGGAGAGGAATTTCAGGTTGTCCTGGCACTGGGAGGAAAACAAAGTAAATGCAAGAGGACAGCTAAAGCCATAGGGCCTTGAAGTCACTGCAATTGTGGCAGCAAAAGACCTTTCAGAGGAGGTGGCATTTGAAGGTTTGGGGAAAGAGCCCCCAGGCAGAGGGGGCAGCGAGGGCAGACACCCGTGTCTGGAACTGAAGAACTCAGTTTCTTCCAGCTCCTTCTTAAAAAGCTCAATTACGTTTTTCTTTCTAGCACAAAAGTGGGCTCGGCTAAAGAGCGTAAGCCAGGGGAGAAGGGCAGGGGGAGCTCTGAGAGGTTGGCAGAAGCTCCATCAGTTAGACCTTGCGGAGCGTGAAAGAAATTTAGATTTTATTCTGATTAATGAGCAAACACCTAGAAAGTCTGAAACGGGGAAGTTCTTGAACTGTTTTCTGCATTTTATTTTTTTATTTTTAAGGTTTTATTTATTTGACACAGAGATTGTACAAATAGTGAGAGCAGCAGGCAGAGGGAGAAGGAGAAGCAGGCTTCCCGCTGAGCAGGGAGCCCGATGCGGGGCTCGATCCCAGGACCCTGGGGCCAAGACCTGAGCCGAAGGCAGCCGCTAAACCGACTGAGCCACCCAGGCTGCGATTTTTTGCATTTTAAAAAATTTCCGCCTCCATGGCTGTCTGGTCTCTCTTCTCTTTTTAGATGCGATGCTAATAGAGGGGAAGAGAACCTCAATTGAGTCAGGGGAAGGAAATCACCTGCACAGCATATCCTGAAACGGCTCTTTAAAGGGGGAGAAAGTTGGCAGGTGTCTTTGGAGTTTGCCCCCCTCGCCCGTCGTGGGCGTCGCAGCAGGGCCTAGAGCCCGGGTGGCACTAACGTGGTCCTCCCCGTGTCTCCCGCCCCCGCAGCAACAAAGGCATGGAGCACCTCTACAGCATGAAGTGCAAGAACGTGGTGCCTCTCTACGACCTGCTGCTGGAGATGCTGGACGCGCACCGCCTGCACGCCCCCGCCGGCCGTGGGGGCGGGAGCGCGCCCATGGAGGAGATGAGCGAGAGCCAGCTGGCCACCACGGGCGCGACTTCGACACATTCCCTGCAAGCCTATTACATCACCGAGGAGGCGGGGAGCTTCCCCTCCACGGTCTGAGAGCTCCGGGGCCACCCTGAGGTCCTGAGAATCCCCGCGGCCTTTTACCCACGTCGTACATCGCGATCGCAGAGTCCCGCGCCCGCGCTCACTCCAGCTCGCACGCGCCACCGTGGCTTTCTGATATGAGTGGCCATTTGTTTGCTTGCTCAGTGCTTAGTGGCACGCCTTCTTTGGGGGACAGCCAAAGGGATTCCAGGGCTAAATTCTTTGACTCTCTCTCTCTCTCTCCCTCCCTTTGCTACATTACTAAGCATGAGGATTCTGTAGCTTTTCATGACCGAACTCAGTCTGTGCGCTGGGACCGGGTGACTGTGCATTTAAGCTACGTGTTGCGACCCAGACCTGGAGAGTGGACGTTTCATCTCTGTGAAGTGCTTTTTAGTGAATCTAAGAAATAGCCACAGGAGAGACTTGAAAGTGGCTCCTTTCATTGCTGACTTGGAGAGAGCGAGGTCAAGGGTTCCTTATGGCATTGTCTTGTATTCCTATAGCAACATATCATTTTATTAAAGGAATACCTTAAAGCTTTTGCTCCGTTGCATGGCTGGAGCTGAATATTCAGTGATTGTCTGCTCATTTGCCCTATAGGAATACAAGATGCCCACAGAGGAGGAAGGCCCCCTGATTGTCAAAACTGTCGGTTTGATACACTGCACCTTGAGTTGCTGCATGTTCTTCCACTGGTTTTTTGAGAACACTACGTGCGGGGCATGGGTTCCAGTTAATTCTTGCTTCCCATGGACCTATGGAAAACACCAAGTTGATCGCAGTTAATTCACCTCCACAAAGACCAGTTTCCTTCTAAGGGATAAATGATTGGGGTTTGTTTTTTGCTTTCAATTTATGAAAGAAAGCCTTCTTCCGCCAGGACTTGCCATCCATCAGCTTCAGGACCTGTTCTCCTGTGGTCTCACACTCACCAGCAGAGGGCGCTCTGCCCAGCTCTTCCTGGTGTGTAACTTAACACAGAGAGTAAATTCATCACAGGTCGTAGTGCCCAGCGTATGACCAAGGGCAGTTTAAATCAGTGGGCGCCCTGGTGACACTCTTAGCTCTGGGGCACTTAGATCAACAGTGAATGTGCATGATTATTGTAATTATTAGAGAACGTGAGGAGAGTAGGGCAGCAACCGGAGAAAACTGAAGGCTCACTGTGACCCTGCCTCGGGCTGTAGCTCTACCCAGGAGCGCCTCTGGCAGGCCCTGTGTGCACAGTGGGGCTGCCCTTCTCTTCTCACCACCCTGACTGGAAGGAACAGAGGAACACAGCTGTGTTCTTCCTGTTGGCCCAGCACACTGCTGACTGGGGCTAGAATGCATGGATTGGAGGCTCACTACTCAGGCTGCCTGGGACCTCGTCAGACTCTACCCCTTCTTGGTCGTTTAGAGCTCGTCCAAAAACCAGGGTTTGGCCTTGGGGGAAAAAACTCCCCTGAAGCTCATTTCATAAAACTTTATAAGCCAAGAAAGCGAGACTAGAATGGGGGGCTGTAGGAATCCTTTGATGTGCAGGCTAAACGAGAAAGGCTCAGTCCAGCCACAGGGCAGCCTACCCTAGGCCTTTGCTTCTCCAGAGCAACTAGGGTTTATCTCTTCTTCTTAGCCAAAAAGTAAGTTTGGTTTCCTCCAGTGACCTCATTGTCTATAATTCAAACCCCACTGAGAAGTGATGTGTTAGCCAACAACCCAGTCAAGCTTCTAGGACTTCTCTTGGGATGCCTATTTCAAAAAGTAGATTTCATTCATTTTTGATTACTTAGTAAGTGAGCACCAAAGGACTGGGAACCTGGGAGGGCCAAAAAATAAAAAAAAAGTTTTTTTCATATATGTGCATCTGAATTTAGGAGCAATTTTGTGTATCTGCAGTTAAGAACGTGTTTAGAACATAATTCTTATGTTGTTGTTTTGTTTAAGAAGCACCTTATATAGTATAATATATATTTTTTTTGAAATTGCAATGCTTGTTTATCAGACAATTGAATGTAGTAATTCTGTTCTGGATTTAATTTGACTGGGTTAAACATCCAAAACCAACGAAAAACATTTAGTTTTTTTGTATAGCTACCTTGTCATGTATGGAGTCATTGATACCTAGGGCCTGGTGATTATTCATTTAAATGAAGATCACATTTCATATCAACTTTTATATCCACAGTAGACAAAATAGCACTAATCCAGATGCCTATTGTTGGATATTGAATGATAGACAATCTTATGTAGCAGAGATTATGCCTGCAAAGGAAAATTATTCAGGGCAGCTAATTTTGATTTACCAAAATATCAGTAGTAATATTTTTGGACAGTACCTAATGGGTCAGTGGGTTCTTTTTAATGTTTATACTTAGATTTTCTTTTAAAAAAATAAAAACAGACAAAAAAATTCTAGTACTATAGATGATGTAATACCAGCTAAATCCAAACAATAATAAAGTGGAGGGTTTTACATTATTCATCTAATGTGTTTGTATTCATGTTAAAGATACTACTACCTTTGAAATGGGCAGAGAACACCCGATGGTTGGAATGTTAGCCCAGGAAAATTCAAATAATTTTAGAAATCTCTTTTCATTCTTCTTTGAAGTGCCACTATTGGACAGCTGACACTTTGCGGCTGATACCGCTGTTGGGGGTAGGGAACATGCTTCTCTCCTCCCCCCACCCCCCATGCTGAGGCAATTTAAGTTTTGAAAGCTATAATCAACCTGGGGGTTAGGGTAGGGTGGGGAAGTAGGTTCAGGAATTTCGAGAGTGGGAAATACAGTAATAAGAGCCTTGCAAGTACTCTGAGGTACATGGATACTGGTACTTGGGGTACGCACCAGGCTTCTGTACTCCTCTCGTGCCCTGTGAACTACGGATGGCAGCCATTTCTAAAATGGCAGCTGGAGTTCTATGGAAGAGCAGGTATCGTCCACTGTACAGTCTAAGGAATAGCTAGTGATCTGAGTTTCTTTTGGCCTTTGCTTAGCTCCGGGCTTGCCGTGATGATTCTGGAAGGCTGATGTGCAACCATCAGAGAAGCTAGTTCATCCAAAAAGAAGACTCTACAGAGGTTGCAAAATCCAGCCCCAAAGGAAGTAGAGTCATTGGTTAGAGTTTCCTCTGAACCTTGCAAGGCTGTCTAACCATGCCGTATCCCATGCCTTTTAGGGTCTGATCAAATAACAGACTTCCTGATCATTTACTCTCGATCACATGAAGGTGTTCTTGCATTAAAATCTTATACACTGAAATGGCCACTGATTTAGGCTGTTGGTTTAGAGTACCCCTACATGAAACCAATGCATATCCCTTCCTATTCATACTTTCCCACTCTGAGATGGACTGTGGATGCTGGGAATGATCACTAGGACCGTAGTAGTAGCTAATGTTCACAAGCAAATCCGCTTTGGGAAACGAGTTACTCGGAAGGCAGTTAGAATCGTAGAGTAGTTTGTGAGGCAATCCCGCTTCCCTTTGGTGCAAGGCTTGGGAGGACAATCCAGATTACACTACACACTTCCTAGGTGAACTCCCTGAAAACTTACTCGCAGCTGGAGCAAAGGAATTCAACTGTGGTCCCAAATATTCATCTTTTCACTAGTGTGATTCCTCTGTTTCTGGCCGCATCTCCTTCTCCTTTGGGTTAAAGTGAGTGTGGCCTCTTTCTATGTCGTTTGTCATTGTTTTCTAAGTAACCGCTGGCTCTACTATGGCACTTCAATTTTGCACTGTCTTTCAGAGGTTCAAGGAAAATTTCTCTTCTTCTTCTTTTTTTTTTTTTTTGCATCCAAATGTGCCTGAACTTTTAAAATATGTAAATGCTGCCGTATTCCAAACCCATCTTTAGTGTGTTTGTATAGAGCTGTGTACCCTGGAAACAACATACAGCCCCATGAGCAGGTGCCTGAGATGTGGACCCCTTTGCATTCACAGAGAGGTCATTGGTCATAGAGACTTGAATTAATAAGTGAAATTATGCCAGTTTATGTTCTCTCACAGCTTATAAACGATGCTTTTTGTGCACAACATACTCTTCAATGTAGAGCTCTTGTTTTATGGGAAGAGGCTTATATGCCAAATTGTGTCTGATGGTTTAATATGCCTTTTCGCTGATGCATACTATTACTGATGTGATTCTGTTTTGTTGCAGCTTTGCTTTGTTTAATGAAACACACTTGTAAACCTCTTTTGCACCTTTAAAAAAGTAAGGAGTCCAGCGGGATGCTCAAGCACTTGTAAACAATTTTCTCAATCTATTTGATGTTCAAATAAAAAATTAAACAAATGTCAACCGGCTCGGTTTCCGTAAACTCCCTTCATGCTAATGGTTTACCACTGATTGCCTCAAACCAAGGTGATGGAATGCATGGAATCCTGAAGATCATTCTGATGCCAGGCTCCTCCCCCCAACCCTGCCCCCTGGCCACTGGGGACAGGAGGAAGTGTGTGGACATTGGAGGCCGGCAGACCTGGCCTCGCTTCCTGGTTCCACCACATACAAGGCTTATGATCACTGGCAATGAATTTTTCAGAGCCTCCCCTTCCTTGTCAACAAAATGGTGACAGTAACACCTAATTCACAGGGTGGTTTTGAGGATTACATGAGGTGCTTTCATTCTGTATGTGTCTCCACAGTCTCTTTGTCCCTTACTATCCTTCTCTGAATACCAAGGAATGCAGTTGTCTTCATGCACCGTGTGTTATTTCCAGGGCTCTCCAGCTTTGGGGAGAATGGTTCACAATCTGTGTGTCAAGGCTGGAATGGGGACTAAAGATAGATTCTACGCATGAACTGGCTTCAGATCACAGTCTCCAACATGACACATTCTTAAGCCTTTACGGACCTTTAAATTAAGAATTGCCATATTTATATTTGTTTCTGCCAAAATACAGAATATATGCCTCACGGGAGCAAATGTTCACAACTTGTATTATTTACACCACGGGCTATGTGCATTAAAAAGCTCGTTTTATGTTCACATTCATGGTTGCTTAAAATTGCAAGATTTAGAGTTACCACCAAAAAAGTAGTGCTAAGTCCAGGCGAGCGATGGTCACTCAAGACAGAGAGAGCTTTCTACCGGAACTGCCTGCTGACGATCTGGGACACCTGGTTGAAAGTACAGGTGAGGTGACTTCCCTTTAGCAGGAGTTTCCTCTGTGTGGATGAGATAACCTCTAAGCCAAAATGTTGAGGTTCTCTCCGCATAAGGAATGATCTTTGATTTTCCTTTCCACCGGCATTGCAACACATGCACATTCTCACACAGAAAAGTCCCATTTACTGCGTGCTTCATGATGCCACGTACTAGCTCTATACAAATTTTCTAGGTAATCTTTATCTAGTTATGATATGAGGGTAGATATGTTACTGTCCTTACTTACCAGGGAGGAAACTGAGAACACAGTTAAGTAAGGTTCCCAGTATCAGAAATCTCAGGAATGGCAGACATCTGATCACTTCTCTGGACTGTAAACATGACTCCCACTTCAGAAACTGGGTTTGAGGTTCTTGGAAGTTAAAGCCATATAGCACCTGTGAAAAAAATTTTAAAGATTTATTAGAAAGAGAGAGAGCATGCACAGGTACGCATGTGGCAGGGGGAGGGGCAGAGGGAGATGGGGAGAGGGTCTCAAACACTCTCACCACTGAGCACGGAGCCCA